AGGAACTAAAGCAACCAGCGCCACCGGAACTTAAGCGTCAGGCAACTGACACCTTTGTGGTGAGGACGACGCACAAATCGAATCTCACTGAGAACCAGTATCACAGTTTACCGGATGTAAATATTGGCGTTAGCCTTAAAGTGTGCGAGAACATTGACAAGGAGCTACGGACATCCTACAATCTGCAACGGCAACAGCAGCGCAAGGAATCCAAGCGACAAAAAGCCGGAGGCGACAGCGGCCAGGTAACACGAGCTGAGACCTACGACTCCATAAGGCGGTTCGGACGTGCTCATCAGAAGGCCAGGCAAAAGGAATACGAGGAGCGCGAAAGGCAACGCGAAAAGGAAGAGTCTACTCACGTAGCGGAAAAGGAAACAAGGCAGGACCCAGCAGCGGTAGAGGTAGAGATAGCGGTTGCAGCAGAGCCAGAGCAGAGTCAAGTGGATAAAGAGGAAACTTTAAAACAGGAATTACCCGCACCAATTGAGACGGTAGTCGATGTTGAGCAGGGTGTGGAAGCGGAAGAGGAACCACTGCCACCACCACCGCCGCCCATAACAGAGGACGAGTTTAACGAGCACTATATAGATAACGAGAGCGAAAACGATAACGATAACCTATCAGTGTCCCTAGCACACCTGGAGCAGCCAAAGGAGGCGCCTGTCATTGAGGTGGCCAATTTTAGCAAGCTAATCGAGCGACGCGCCCAGGAGATCAGGCAGCGCGCCAAAGAGCAGCCAGTGGATAAGTCCCAGGAACAGCCACAATCGTTTCGCATCATTGTCACCGACGCGCAAAACAACGTTATCCAAACGGAAGCGATTCAAGAGGAGCAAGCCAATTCAACCACAGCCGTCAACAGCAGCCAAACAGCGACGACAGCAACTACAACTTTAGTGCACTCGAATTCCCAGCCTTCGTTGCGACGCTCCAGCAGCTCAGCGGGTGGCAAACCGCCGGAACGTCGAGTGCTCAGCGCCGGTGCAGCCATTTACAAGGCACGGCCCATTAAGGTACTGTCAACGGCCAGCAGCGATTCATTTGGACGACAGAAAATGTCACGACCGCAGATTTTGCATGTTGTGGACAGCAGCAGCAGCGGCAATGGAGCGGGCAGCCTGCGGCGACGCAGCAGCGCCCGCAGCATTGCCAGCAATGTCAGCAATGGCGGCGGCGAAGTAGCCACCGAATATCTGCAAAAAGTGGACGCAGTGAAATGCTACTGGAACAAGCTGGCGGCAGGCAATGAGCCAGCCAATGCAGAGGCCGAGAAGGAGCTCAGCTCACGGCTGCATTTCCAGCTGGGCGACAAGGTGACGCCGGAGAATGAGAAACCTCCAAATGGCGGCAGCAGTGCGGACTACTGCAGCATCATGCCGCCCTCCATTGAGATTGTGGAGCTGGGCGATGGCGCACAGAAGGCAACGATTGTGAGTGCCGCACCGCAGGAGTTGCATGGCGAGGATGATGAGGATGCGGCACAGTTCGATCACATACGCTACAAGGTGCTCAAGTCTCAGCAGCTCATTCGGAGCAATATACTGACCGCGCGCAACAAGAAGGAGGCGCAGTTTGATGGACTCATACAATACCTGCAGGATTACAGTTTTCAGGAGCTACTGAGCAACAATAATGTGGTCATTGTGGAGCCGGTTAGAACCAAAATCGAGCGACCCTTAACAGTGGGTGCAGCGCAGAAAGCACCACCCAAGCCTGCCAGGCTGGCAAGCACACAGCAGACGACTGCGCCCAAGAAAACGAGACAGCGCCAGGTGGGCGGCGCGGGCGCCAAGAGACACTTTTTCTATCAGCCCGTTAGGGTCAACAGGGAACTCTACGAGGAAGAGTTACCCGATCCGGACACGGTGCGAAATGTGCGTCGCTTCTTCGAGCAGAACGTGATGCCCACCCCCGGTCAGGGCATACTGGTGCAGTCTCAGCAAAAGTTTGGCGGCTCCGCTTGCCAACTAAGTCCGAAGAGCCGCCGGGCACGTGGCTATCGCTATCTGACCATCGACACAAGCTATGGCGGCAGCTCGGCAGGCACTGTCGTAGCCGAAGAGCAGCCCAAGGGCATGGAGCTGTTGGAGGAGCACAAAGTTAAGCACTGGGACAATGCGAGCCTATCGAGCGGCATATCCAGCGGTGATTTGTCATCGCCCTGCGGCGAGTGTCATAATCAGACAGAGACCATGTCAAAGGAATCGCCAGTGCTTGCCTGCAAGGGTGTGCACGTTCTAGATGTGGTGCGGCGACACAATAGCAATGCGGCGAATGCCAAGGCCAGAGCCAAGCTGGCCAGTCGGCGCACCTGGTGCGTGGGCGGTGCTGGAGCTGGTGATTCGCGTTACCGGCAAATTTATGAGCAGAATGTGGGACAGGCACAGCTGGAGGCGCACACGCAGGAGCCAGAGGATGATAATCATGATGATAATGAGGACGACAACGACGATGTGGAGACGGACATGTGCGAGTCATATTATGTGAGCAATGTAAGTATGAGATGTCCAGTGTCTGGCTGCGTGCAGCTTGATGGATTATTAGGCTTTGATGGCAGCACATTAAGCTGTCTTGGCCAAGCCCAATACTTAACTCAATCCCAACCCACTCTCCTCCACTCTCTTTCACTTTCTCAACAACAGGACGTGCTGGCCAAAATACGCGAATGCGGCTCCACAGTTACCTACTATGGAGGGAGGGTACTGGAACGGCAGACGCCGCCAACGACAACAGTGCAGATAAATCCGCAGCTGATTGATGGAAATTCGGGCAGTGGCACACGCTCTCGAGTGCGTCAAATCGAGACGTGCCATGTGTGTCCACCCAGTGAGAGCTGTAAGCACGAGCCGGAGCAGCAGCAACCGGACTCCTATCAGGGTAAGCGTTCGTGTTGCATGTCACTATCTGAGCTGCAGTTCATCATTGTCTTTTTGGCAGGCATTAAATTCAAGCTGGTCAAGTCCAATAGCTGCAGCAGCCGCCTGGAGCTGGCGGGCGCCGACGAATGCGACTCCATGCTGACGGACACTGAGGTGGTGCGCAAAATGGTTCATCATTTTGAGTGCAACCAGCCACCGGGTGATGGCAATCTGACCATTAACAGTCAAAGCACCGCTGCCAAGACGGCACAGCTCCAGGAGGCGACAGCTCGCCGACAAGTGACAGTAAATAATCACATCAATGTGCTGAGGGAGGCGTCGACGTCGACGCAGGAGCATAGTGAAAGCCAAGATGTGTACGATAAGCAGAATGGAAACGGAACGACTTATCAGAGCCAGGCCATGAACATACGCCTTGACTTAAGTGCGGGGCGTGGCAGCAGCACTGATAAGCCCGGCAATAACAGCAAAGTATGTCGCAATAAAAATGTGGATCTGGCCTATACGCTGGCCAAACAGCAGCCGCCTCAGGCGGAAAAGACGCTTGTCAACCAAGGCACGCCCATTGCCAATCAGCGGCAATCACAAGCCCAGAAATTGGGCAAGCAATTGAATGCGCTGGATGAGCAGCAAACATTGCCAAAAATTGTCAAAAAGCCGGAAATCATGGCTCGTGAGCAAATCATTGTCCCAGTCGAGATTCATCAGACGGTGCCAGTGGCGGCGACGGCTGGGAGCCAGGAGCGTCGTCTGAGCAATGCCAGCAGCAGTGCGTCCATTGTGGACAAGACCGTGGTGCGACACTATGTGGCCAATGATAGAAGCATCTACGAGCGTCGCAAATACGATGAAATCGAGTTCGAGGAATTTGAGGTGTACGATCCAGCCAAAGAGCTAGAGCGTCAGCAACAGGAGCAGGCGGAACAGACAGATCAGACAGAGCACTCAATGGATAAACGGCAGACAGATGGCGACCTCTATGACAGCCTGGACGATAGGATGTAGGACAATGCTCAATGGAAACCAAGCAACGACTTTTTGGGGTTTGGGTAAACGATAAGCCTAAGCTAAATAATATATATGAAATATAAACTATCTAGATAAACTATATAACTAGCATATTATATAAGCATTATATAGCTTTACAGGTAAAGCAAAAAAAACAACAAAAAGAAAGAGAGAACAGAATTATCCAAAAACTATATTATATAAACAATATTTTAATCAATACAAGCTCAACTTTTATTTGTAGATTTGTAGCCAATGACCAAATAAATAGACCATTTATTTATAATGAGCAGTGGCAGCTGCCGGCTAGATTATTTATAATTTATTTATAAACCAAAAGCTGCAAAAATGCCGCCCGCAGCGAAACGGGCGGATTTTGTAATTATAGCTGACATTGCGGTTGCAATTGTTTTGGTCATTTAGAGGGGGTTGGCGCAACCATAATTGCAAAACCTAAATAACGTATGAGTTTAGCTAATCTGTAACTAAATGACAACTTATGACAATTTATTTGTAATAAACAATCAATTAGAACATTTAATTAGAAGGCTTGTTGATAGGTCGAAAGGTATCGAATTGAAAGGCGCCTAAAAGTAGGCTAAGCCTAAATTTCTTTTTTATGTACCAATAGAATTGGCATCTGCAATTTTTAACTAAGTGTATACATATGTGAAGAAATTCTGCAGAAGAGCACATATTTTAATCAAAAACGTTAAAAATGTTTTTATCTTTATTTTCAACTAAGCAGCCAGCGAAATTACTTCAAGAGGTTTTCATATTAGCTGTACACTTTTTTTTTTATTAAATTATAATGCTTCCTCAATTGAGTCTATCTCTTCTTTCTAGCCTTCAATTACCTTGCGACTTATCAGATCTGCGTGAATGCTTTACTCTCTTGATGCTCATTCTGATTTGCTTATGTTTGTTGACCTGCGGAAACTTCGTAACTTTTCCAAATTCCCTTTTCTGATGCTTAACATTGCTAAATCTTTTCACATTCATTTGTTTATGTCTTAATCTTTCCTTACGTCTCTCTTGTTTACGCTTTACTGTTTGACAAATACGCAACAAGTCAGAACAGATTGTTTTTCTTTACCTGCAGATACTTACTCAATTCTATTGCACTGAGAGGGCTAAGACCTTTGCTAACTTCTTGTTTCTCATCTTTTTCATCTTTCCCGGGCACATTTGCTTTGTTTACATGCTCTTGAAGCACCGCGTACTGATTTTTTGATTGCACTAGGCGCTCTTTGATTTGTTGAATTCGAAATTTACTTTTTTTTAACTCTTTGCTTATGTTAATTTCCTTATCTTTAAACCTTTGCTTGGCCCTAAAGGCATTCATTCTGTTTGCCAAAGTCATCGCCTCCATTTGGTAGTCTGTAGAGTTCTTTGAGCCATCATCCGCTTCGCCAACAACCGGTTTGGCTGTTGTTTTAATTGCTTTCTTTTGTCTGATTTCTTCGGCTCTCTTCATCCATACTGTAAAACGCAGCTCAAATAATTTGACCCCCAACTATGCTTACAAGCCGAGCACTCGACTCGGTATCAATTTTCATATTAAAGCCAAATATTTACAGTAATTTTCTCTTACCAGTTGTCGGTGATGGTTTTTCGTGCTTGTCGTGCTTTTTCCGCAAGTTCTCCTTATCATCATCCGAATGCGTTGACGAGCCAAAGGTTCTGTGCTGCTGTTGCTCATGGCCAGGCCAAAAGGGCTGTGCGCCAAGGGCATGGAAAGATAAACAGAAGAATATGATTAAATTAATATTAATGAATGCATTACGGCTTATTGATTGTGGCTTAAATTGGCCATAGATCTTTCGACTACCAAATGGCATTAACGTATATACATATATTTATAAAAGGCCACAGCCAAGTGTGAATAACATCACCATCCTGGCTATCTAGCTGCCTATCTCATATGTGCCTGCCTTGCATGTCTCAACCGCTCCTAATTAAGTTAAAATGCTCCCCAGCGAAATCACGTGTCTTCCATAACGAACAAGAAAAGGTGGGAGAGCACAAAGACCGCAAAACTGAACACAACATCATGCCTTATTTCAACTGAAGCAGCAGGTATGGCGAGGAAGTAAATTGCTACCTTGGGGGAGGGGAGGGGCTACTGTACAATGTTTGCATCAGGTTGGGCACATTTCACGCCCAGTTTTCATCAACGGCTTCAAGCACATTATCTTTCTCATTCTCTTTCTATCTCTCTCTCGCTCACTCGCCCTGACTCACACTCTGTGTTTGCCTACGGTCCACACTGCGTATGAGCAATCTCACGCACACAGCACAAAAAGCAAGTGGAAAGTATTTTTATTTTATTCGAACTCTACTGGGAAAAACGGAAAATAAAATCGAAACTGAAACTGTTTACCTTGTCATTTTACCACGTACACACGAAATAAACGCAAGACGATCCAACAGAACTCACAATAGACTCATGACGTGACGCATGACACAGAGCGCAGTTGAAATAAATATTATTTACGGGGTCAGGGGAAAATGTGGCAAAATGATGATAATGATTTCCTTAAAAATTAAAACTATTTTTTAATAACTAACTTTAGATTGGAATTTCTCAAAATTAATACACTGTTCATGAAGTCTGCACAAACTACACGAAATCAATTTTTTTTTTTTGCTATGAGCTGAGCCTTAAGCCGGTTCACCTGACTAAAGAACAATTCCATATTATTTCAAAAAGGATTGAAATCATGAAAAACTAACCAATTTTGATATTGTAAAGATTAAATAAGTTAATTTATTAAAAATGTAAGTAAGGTTCATACCAAAAACCTTGGTTCATAGATGTGTATAACCGGCTTCATTTTATTTTTTCACCTGTTTCTGGCTGCTGGAGCACCCCTCGTTTTATTTATTTTCCATATATACACCAATGTACACGTTCAAGAAAAACTGGCATTGCATAGCATTAGGAGCGTGTGCAGCTGACTAACGATATGTGTATGGGTCGTCTAGGTATATGTGTACTGATTGGATTTTACGCTCGACTTCAATCCAGCGCTTCAATAATTCAGCAAGTTCGCAATATGGCAAAAAGCAGGGGGTCGGCGCAGCTGAGTAATTGAAATTTAAATAGTAAATAAATGAGAGAAAAGTCGAATGCGTGGCAACATATATAAAAGTTGCAGCAGTTGAACATAAATCAAACTCTTGCGTATTTCTCTCTTTTTATGCTCTGGGATTTATGATTTGTGATTTGTGTTTGCTCTGGCACTTGAGGCACTTGAGGGGCCGCTTCTGGCAATGGAATAACAATTTGACAGCACGTTCCAACAATAACGAGTCGCATGCAATAAATGATAGATTGATAAATGTGAATGCAAAGGTGACAGAGCTAACAAAAATTCAAAATATCAAATAAAATTCAAAGCTTGGCAAATTGAGTTCGCAAGTGTGGCCAAAACTGTCAGCCAATTTTAGAAGTTAACAAACGAAACGTTTCTGAGGCGCATAAATTTAACATGCTCCGACAGGCAGACGAGCCGGTCCGGATGCAGCACAACCAAAAAGTATGCCACACCCGCCTGTTGTTATTTTGGGGCAAAATGGCAAAAGTTTTTATGATCATCCAAGTAAATTGAAATCACAGGCGCTCAGCATGCTGAAGCGCTGCTCTCTGCTGAGCTTATGGCTTTAAATGAAAATGAAAATGTTTCATTTCATAAAGTACACCTGGCGAGCTGAGCTGGTGGCTGCACCCGCAACTTATGTAACGCGCTGAAAGTTAATTTGTGTTTGGGGGCAACTTTAAAGGGCGGCCGAAATCGCCAGCTGTCACAGAAGCCAACAGATTAAAGCACAAATATGCACATGGGCGTTGCCTTTGCTGAGCCTTTGCGACATGTCGAAGGAATTGCTTCATAATGTGCAGAACACTGCGGCCACTTGCGTCGCTTGTGGCACGGAGATGAGCTAATTCAGGCCTAAGCAAGCGAAAACAAACAATAGACAGCAGACAAAATACACACGAAACACACACAATCAAACAATGGCGGGCTGAGAATAAACGACTCAACTGAACCGAGCTGACAAAAGAGCTTCCAGCTAGGGGTGCTGCCAGTTGAGGCATAAAGAAGGGGGGTGCGGGCCAAACAGGCGTATGAGAAACTGAGCTGCGAGGCAGCCTCGACTATAATAATAACTAGCATAAGTGCAGTCAACATACAAAGTTAAACACGTGTTCCCAAAAACAGCATCGCCACAATTCAGACATATAGCAGACAAGCCAAAAGTTGCCCAGCTCCAATCTGGTTGAATCACGCAAACCAGTTTAAGCTCTTAAAACCATTTAAACTTTTAACTGGGCTAAATAAATGATATAACGTTTGACAGAATGCACGCAAGCTTGGCATTGCATACTTTTAGGCGCACATTAAAATAGATTGTGTAATGATATAATTAATTAACTACAATTCATTTGTATCTTTTAAATTTACACTTCAAACGTCGTTAGCTAAATTAAACTTTATTTAAGCAATGCTTTGATAAATTTGTGAGCGCACCAAAAACTCTTAAATAAATAAACATTTTTAGACAATCTTGTGTTGAATAGCCATATGCTGGAATTTTTATTTACTTCAAAAAACATCAAAAGTTTGTCAAACTAAAGGCGACTTTCATTCGTGGAACACAATGCCCAACAAGGGTGCGAAATTCAAAGTAGGGGTTGTACGAAACTGCACAAAAATGTTTACTGTGCCGCTTCGCTTTTGTTAAGTCCCGTCTGCCCCTCGCACACGCCGTTGCACTTGGCACGGCTCCGACGAGTTGGCTTTGTGCCAATTGCTTGGCAACGGTTAACAAAGTCGCGTGTCAAGTGTCGCATGCGGACCGAGTATACCCTTTCAAGCAGTTGTTGTTGGTCTTGAGACTGTTAACGCCTTTGATTGCCATTGAAAGCGTAATTAAAGTCAACAAATGGAAAACATAATTCGCCCAACACTTATAAAGCATAATTGAAGCTCAAAGCGAATATAAATGACTCGTAAAAATAGACATAACATAAAAAATACGTGCAATAAAAACGTCATACTAAAAAAAGCTGCCATTAAATTGAGCTTTTTGTATATACACCGGATGTGCCACTGTCCCCCCCTCCCTCTACAATTGCTGAGGGCAAGGTATCATAAACGAGATTAACAAATCAAACCACACTCAAAGTTAAAACTGAAAAGTATAGCTCAATAAAAAAGTGTTCATTTAAGTAAAAAGTGATATAAATATATACAAAAAATGTCAAATAAAAGCTGTCTCGATAAAATTCTATAAATATAAAAGCCAAAAAGAGAGCAGCTAAAAACATAATAAATTAAACGCGTGAGCAAACGGGAATAAATATATACACACAGATATATATCTGGTTTAGTCGTTTTTTTTCAGCAATGAGTAAATAGAAATACAAGAAAATATTTTCAACGTGTAAACATTTAGGTAGTTGAAATGCGAGAAAGAGCAGGTAAATGAAATGGGTAAACAACTTGTGGAAAATGCGCAGAAGCAGAAGCTAAACAGAAATGTCAGCCAGACAGACGGAGAGGGACTATCAGAAATATTAACGAAAATGTTAGAAAAATGTTTTGCGCCAGCCAAAAAAAAAAAAACAGATATAAGCAATGAAATGGGAAAAGCAGACAAACTAAAATTAGTATGCGATATATATGCACACATACAGTCGAACATCCATAAAGATACCACAGTACAACGCTATGTATTAGAAAACGAAACGAATTTCTGCGAACAAATCAAATGAGACGTATATGAAAGAGTGCAAAACGTTTCGACAATTTGTCGCCTTAGCCATAAGGCAGGCAGCTGTCTGTTGCGGGCTTGTGGTTTTGGTTAGATAAAATGGCCAGCTGCCTGGCTGCGCTACAAGCTGCAAACATGGCCAACATTTGTGGCCATTTGTGGGCGGCAAGCGGCAAAGATGCGTAAAGTGCGCACTAAGCTGGTGGCTAAACTTTAGCCCCGACTACTCCCTCAGTCCTGCTTACCTACTTCTGTATGCTATTTATGCAGCTCCTTTGTAGAATATGTTTTATGGCCCATTTCGGAATGTTTCGGCGGGCAGCGCCAAATGCACGTTATGGGAATTGTGCGACGCATTCAGCAAAACACATTTGAATTATCGTCTTTATATAATGGCCCCAAGCTGGCCTGCGTGGCGTATGTGTGACAATGCAGCACATTGCGTATACGTCACGTGGTGCGGCACATTAATGTTTTAGTCAATTTTCGCAACAATTACATGCGTTGCAGTTAAAAGCAAATTATATACTCAGGTAAAGAGGCAGAGACAGCGAGAGAGAGAGAGAGAGAGAGAGAGAGAGAGAGAGAGAGAGAGAGGGAGAGAGAGAAGGAAGGTAGAGAGAAGTTTAGAGAGTGAGAGGGTCTGTAGCTGGCAGCGGAAAGTTGTTTAATTAAATGTATTCAGCTTATTGAAAATGCAAGTTAATTAAATTTCAATTTCAATTAGAGACGAGGCGGTGTGGCAAAGCAGCTTTGAAAGCACTCGTTATGGGCTTCAATGTGTCTCAAAAAGTACCATTTGCCCCGGGGGCAAATGTGAAAAGCGGCAATATTTACAAAGTGCTGGCCCTGCGCCAATAAAAAGTGGCATGTGAAGCAGCTAAGTGGGTGGGCTTCGCGGAGCGAGTGTCTGAAATAGGAGCGTATAGAACGCATC